TAATCGAATGGTTTATTAAAATACTTTATATAAATCGAGATAAAAAAATAATCTAAATTAATTAAAAAAAATTGACGATCGAGTCCTTGGTTTTTTAAGCTATAACCACATAATATTTATCGATAATGTTGGATTAGGTTGTTAATCAGCTACATTTTTATTAAGATTCTTTATTTTTTGATAATAAGCAAACATTTTTCAAATAAAGTATTTTTTTGCCCACGGAATATCGTGCGCGTACTTCGTTCTGAACAATTATGCGACATATGAACAGGGTGGGGAAAAGGGAGCGCTAGCTAAACCTTTTAACATGGCATGCGTTGAGTTTGAGTACCTCATTGTTGTGAGTGTCTACAGACCCCATGTTCTTTATATGATACTTTTGAAAAAATTATGGAGGATTTTTTTGTTAAGCTTAATAAACAGAATAAATCTGTTGTAATATGTGGAGACTTTAATATCAATATCCTAGAAGCTTCCTCCGCCAATATTAAATTTAGATAATTGTTTAAATCATATAGTCTTTTTAATTTATTTTTGGAGCCAACGCGTATCACTGAACGTAGTACAACATACGTAGATAACGTTTTTACAAATTTTAAGCGTTGCATAAATGTATAATTCAAAAATTGAGTTCTAATCACTGTGGACAGTTAGTTTCGTTACCTTATGTTCACAAAAAGCAAGTAGATGTGAAAATTGTGTTTGTTCCAGTAAATGCACGTCGCTTGGAAAAGTTTAGAAGTAACGTAGTGAAGAAAATTCCATCACTTTCACACCAAAATGATCCAAATTTTTTGTATGGTACATTGTTTAAGCTTATTTGCAATGAATTTCATAATATTTTACTTCTAAAACGTTCTCCTTGAACAGTCGGAAGAGATTCAATGAATGGGCGACAGTAGGAGTCCATAAGAGCAGACAAAGGTTATATGACCTTTACCATGAATGAGTTATATACACTAGCGTGGAATTTAGGGAATATATAAAAAAAATATTCAAAAATATTTAAAAGAGTGTACTCCACAGCCAAGTCTTTGCATTTGAGCAACAAAATTAAGACGGCATCTAGTAAAATTAAAATGACGTGGAGTATAATTAATAGTGAAACTCGTAAGGCCAACTCTCGCAATTCAAACTACCGGTTAAGTTTTAACAACAAATTAACTGAATCAGATCAGGATGTTGCAATGGTTTTTGAGCAATATTTTACTGGTATTTCGATCTTAACCACTGAATTCTTCTCCTGCCGTCGCTGAATCATTACTTAAACAAAATGTAAATGCGTGTACAAAGAATTTTATATTTCATAAAGTATCATCAAAAGATATTTTAAAATATTTTCAACCAATTGATATTAAGAAAACTGCAGATCAGTGGGGGATTTCCGTTAAAGTTATTGCGTCTATAATAGATATAATCGCGCCTCAACTAGCTATTATTTTTAATACTAGTATCGAATATGGTATGTTTCCTGATTAAATGAAGCATAGTAAAGTAATACCTTTATTTAAATCTGGTAGTATATTAGACCCTGTCAATTTTAGACGGGATCTACGTCAATTTTAGACCAATTTCTGTACTGCCAACACTTAGTGAGATTTTTGAAAAAATTATTCTTGATCAAATGTAAAAAATTTTTAAATGTAAATAGTTTAAATCCATTCGGTTTCACAAAGGGTCGATAAACAACTGATGCTGATGTTGGTGTTGAGCTGATTAAATATATTTTCAATGCATAGGAGAATTTACAGGATGCTTTGGGTATATTTTGTGACCTATCCAAAGCCTTCGATTGTGTTCATCATGAAACATTAATCAGGAAACTACAACAATACGGTGTAATAAGTAATGCTCTTAAATTAATTGTTTTATATTTAAGTAACAAAACGAAAAAAGTTGTCATTAATAGTATGGGCTCTTCCGGGTTGATAGTACAAATGGGCGTGCCTCAAGGCTCAATTCTCGGTCCCTTTCTGTTTCTTGTATATATTAATAACTTAACTTACATAGTAGGGGATTACCATAATATAGTATTATTTGCTGATGACACTTCATTAATTTTCAAATTAAAACGACAATTATTAAAATATGACGAAGTAAATGATGCTATATCTAAGTTAGTAAATTGCTTTAATGTTAATAACTTGCATTTAAATGGCACTAAAATAAAATGTATGAAATTCATGACTCCAAATGTCAAACAATTAAATACTAATGTAATTTTAAATGGGAAGGAACTGAGTCTTTGCGATACTATCATTTTCCTTGGAATAACACTAGACGCGAAGCTTCAATGGAGCCCCCATATATCAAAATTAGCAAGCAGACTTAGTTCTGCAGCATATGGTGTAAAACATATTAGAAATCTTACCAGTGTGGAAAGAGCAAGACTTGTTTACTTTAGCTATTTCCATAGCAAAATGTCGTATGGTATTTTGTTATGGGGACACGCGACTGACACTGAAATTGTATTTGTTTTACAGAAGAGGGCCATAAGAGCAATCTATGATTAAAAACCTAAAGAGTCGCTCCAACAAAAATTTAAGGAAATTAATATATTAACTTTGGCCTCTCAATACATTTATGAAAATGTAATGTATGTACACAAAATTAAAGGTAGTTTTTTTATAAGATAAGCAAATAGTAAGTGGTTGCTGTGGCCCATAGACATCTACATCTATCCTCGTTTGCGAATCAAAACGCAGATGCGTTGTCATCCGTGAGGACTAAGATGGAATGCTCTTTTCCAGTAAAAAGGGTCTCCGGTTTTCTACACTCACTATATGAAATACAATAGTGTTAAGCTGCTATTTTATGCTGGTACTCTATGAGAGCGTGGTCCTAACCCGGTCGAGTCGACCCATTCGTGCTACAACTATACCACTAATATAGCTGCAGCATGGCTCTATCACGTATGCATGGCTCAAATGGCTAGCGTAGTTATACAAAAATAACTGATATTCATTCTGTAAACCAGTTACTCGACTCCACCGAGTCAGTAATTCACTCTTGAGGCGATGTATACGTTTTTACAACAACACCCTAGAACATATTATACAAAATTTGACTTGCTCAATGTTCAAAAACTTTATTAAACAAAGTTTGTATAAAACGGGTTATTATAATATTAAGGAGTTTATGGATGATAATAACCCCTGGGAATGAGGTGATCGCTACCAAGCTATTTCAAATTGGTTTGCGTGGTTAATTGTGTAACATACATGATTGTAAGCAGTTAATTAAAAAAAAGTCCCGCTGGGTTTCTTGCTGGTTCTTCCCAGGACAGAGGCTTTCTCTCGAACCAGTGGTAATTAAACAAAAGAGTTAATTTCAATGAGTATTATTTATAATCTATATTGAATAAAAAAAGTTTCTATTTCTGTTTCTGTAACGTAGGAAATCTTCGCCGTAAGGTAATTTTTTGCAAACATTTATTTGCTCACTAATTAGACGACAAGCTCTTAATTGTCTACGTGGTAGAGCCACGCTGCAGCTATATTATGGTTGTAGCACGAATGGATCGGCTCGACAGGGACCACGCTCTTACAGAACACCAGCGTGAAATAGCAGCTCACTACTGCCGTGTTTCGTATGGTGAGTGTAGAGAACCGGAGGCCTTTTTTACTGGAAATTGGGCATGCCATCTTAGACCTCACGGCTGACAAGGCATTCTGCATTTTGATTCTTAATTGAGCATAAATTTTTGTCATCGTTTAGTGTCGTTTGTCATCCTATGAAATATAAAAAAATACTAGTTTACCAGGTTGTGCAGAGCTAGTCTAGTTAGTCTCCGTTTAAACTCGCCACCGGGATTCGGTTAGGAGGACTATGATGAAGATGGTGATAATTATGATGTAAAAATGCGAACATATATAGACATTATTAAGTCATAGTTAGATGGACTTCTTTTTGGCTCCGAAATCACAGAGGCCGTAGTGTATTTAACGTCCAAATCTACTAAATTAAATTGATTAATCAATTTACTAAACCTAAAACAAATAACGATCGAACTAATTGGTATGTCAGCGTAATTAATTTATAAGTCTGTGAGGGATTTTGAACTTTATCGGCCATTCGCTAGCCAATCAGTTGGTTCGTAATTAGAACGGGATAACGTTTTGCCTAACAAACTTCAAATGATTGTATTTTGTAATAATATTTTTAAGCTAATATTTAAAACGCCGCATTAATTTGAACAAGTAATTATTAAATGATTTCTTATATTTACGCAAACTAAAACTAATAAAACTATTTTTACGGATTCTACGCGTTTAATCTGACCATTCTCATGGGTGCTGCAAAACACCCGAACGTGAACGTCGGGTATTAAAGATAATTAAAATTAAACGTGATAAAATCCGTAACAATAGTTTTATTTAAAGAACTACACATTTTATTATTCACCAAAATGTCCACAGGTAAAGAGCCGTGATAGAGACAAGTGCTTTAAAATTTTACGGTCTAAAAGTTTCTACAATTTTCACCGCCATTAATGAAAAATAAAAATAAAATAATATTCCGAGGATGTCCTCAAAACTGTAACTTCAACTTATATGTCCACATGTAATGGACCAGCGTGGCAAATTCTCCTTGTTCTAGAAGCCCTTCCCGCTATAAGAGGCCTGTTACCAACATTATACGTGAAAGAGCCATGCTGCAGCTATGTTATACTTGTAGCACGAATGGGTTAGCTCGAACGTTAAACGACCACGCTTTCACAGAATACCAGCGTAAAATAGCAGCTCAATGCTGCTGTATTTCGTATGGTGAATGTGAAGAACCGGAGCCCCTTTTTACTGAAAACGAGACATTCCATTTTAGTCCTCAGGGTTGGCAACGCATCTGTATTTTGATTCTTATTCGAGGATAGATGTAGATGTCTATGGGGCACAGCATCCACTTACCATCAGGTGGACTGTGTGCTCGTTTGTCATCGTTATTCTATAACAAAAAATTGAGACGAATAGGATCTCACTCTACTTTACTTTTGTCTGCAGAGCGCCGCGGTATCACCAAGTGTCGCGGACCAGTATGTAGTGAACACCACATACGAAAAGCACGAAACTAACAAAATGGCCGACCTGATCGGACCCGAGACCATCGTCGACGACGAAGTCGGCTACGAATACGATGCGATGAAGATACCGGAGATCGTTACGCCGGACGAGATGAACGAGTCGGGCTATCAGGAGGGATCGGAGACTAGTTACGGGGATCGGCGGGATTCTAAGGAAGGGTTCGGTGGCGAGGGGGATTCGGACAGTGGAGTGGACGGGGTGAGCAGTGGGTGTAGCACCGTGGACGACTGCCCCGTCGTGTCTATCAATGACGTGGTCGCGTATTACGACGACATCCGGCCCCGGAGGCGCCATGTGCCGCAGCTCAACTTCTATCACGTGGACATCGAGAGGATGGCCTTGGACGCTGTTGTTCAGGTGAGTTTTAACTTGGGTACATACGCAGCTAAAATTTTTTGCAAATATGTCAATCTTCTTACTAAAAAACGGAAAATATCTAGGCTTGGTTTCCAAGGCTACTGCAATGACTAGATGATATATATTTTCAGTGAACCAAAATAAAACGGATATTGTAAATGTTCGCGCAAAACTCTGTTGTCGGAATCGACACCAGATGTCACTCGGCTCGGCGCGATTCCGGTCTGAAGTTCTTCCGAGCGTCACAGTGGCGCGCGGGTCGCAAGCGAGTCAGTCATCTGCCAGATGTGCTAATGTTTGCACGCCTTTAATTTGTGCGGGAACCGCGGAATAGTTAGGGCGTCTAGTAAATATCCTGTCTAGGAATTATAACGCGCATTCCCTGTTTGGATAGCCTTTCCCGGGACTTATTGGGTCCGACTCAGAATCTGTATAAGTGCATTCGGCAATATAAGCTAGTGCGGCCTCGGTATTTAGAACTGTTGCCACGCGAAACGGTAGTGACCTTTGACCTAGAAACTCCGGGCGTGTTTTGTGCGGTAACCTTATACCCCGCGATAGTTAGTGGCTTCTGTAAGCTGGTTAATCGTGCGATAGAGTTAAGTGACTGTCATCGTGGTGAACCAAGAAAGTGACTGTGGATAACCTCGAAAGGCCCCCTCAAATTGGAGCGGTGTCGACGCTCGGGCTGCTGCCGACGGCTAAGGTCCAGGTTTAATCACCATCAGTCACACCCAGATACACACCACATCACCATTCTTTCCCTTGCACTACACAACTACATGCGACCTGACCGACTCCGGAGGGACCAGTCGTCTTGGATCGAGGTAAGTGAACTCCGCCAAATTCCTTCCGGTCGACTGGCCGTAGTATAACGCTCCCCCATATATTTTAGTGTAATTAGAGAGATTCCACGTGGCCTTAGGAGGCCCGACCTACGTTTGCTCGGGAAGTCTTCTGCTGATGGGCCCCGGGGGATTGGATCCTTTAAGGGAGCAACCGTAGGCCGTAACATTTGGTAGCAGAGCGTGGTTCCGGGTTCGATTCCCGGTCGATCCCGACTATAGTGTTTGATAAACATTAAACAATTTTGGTGGCAGGGAGCGTCGGTGTGATTGGTTTAATTTGCATCTACAATCACGCCCGTCCGTAATACGTAAAAATATTTTTTTTTGTACGTAATAATAGAATTATTTTCCTTTGTTGCTTTGTTGCTTGCCTTTTTTTTGGTTAGAGGGTAATTTGAAAAGCCGCGCCCTAGGTTGTGCAAGCGGGAGATTTTCTAGAGATATACGTCATGTAGGTAGATGGTTATTTTTACGTAATCGGTTAATTATCGTTGTCGGAGAGTTGTAGTGGATTACTTATCGAAGGTTCGATTTCCGAGCTAGGCATTTTTTGTTGATCGACCGTGATCTTCGTTTATACTGTAAGTTGTATTTGAACTAAATAGTAGTAGTTTGTATTTGCGCAATTTGAATTTAACTTGATTCGATCGCACTAGTATTTGTTATTTGTTAATTTGATTTGTGTCTTTTTTGTGCTAACTTGTATTTGGTTGATACGTAGCAAGTAGTTCGTATTTGTGTAATTTCTATTCAACGCGATTTGATAGGAACTGCATTTATTAACTGTTAATTTTTTGTTGTATTTTTTATTTGTTATCTTTGTAAACTGTGCTCAAGCCGCGTCGTAATTTGCATTTAATAGTGATGACATCGCCCAAGCTACTGATCCGTTGTTTGCGGACTGAGCTACGCTGGGCCACAAGCGCCCATGCTTTGATAGGTCGACCGGATAGGGTCCATAACTTGATGAAGCAGTTCGAGCAGGTGGATGCTCGAAGGGCCGCAGTGGAGGAGGCTTACGCTGAACTCGAGGATTCGGATGTGGAGAAGGGAGTCCTGGACTCCTGCTTCGCGGACTATGAGCAGTTCTTGTGGCTCACGGACGAGTTGATCGAGGCTGAAGGCAGGTATGCCGAGGAGGCTCGTGAAGCTCGGATGAGTGACTTGTCCGAGTCCTCTCTGAAGCGGCTTCAGCCGGAGCTGTTGGGACGACTCCCAACTCTGGACCTGCCAAAGTTCTCCGGGGTCCTTTCCGAATGGCTGACCTTCGTTGGTCTTTTCGACAGCCTAGTGGACTCCCGGAGTGACTTGACCCCGAGCCAAAAGATGGTGTACCTCCTGGCCTCACTGGAGGGGGAGGCCCTGGGCGTCGTCGGCCACTTGAGATTGTCGGACGACGCCTACCAGACTGCTCGGGACCTCCTAGCCATAAGATACGCCAACGTCCGGCGAATTGCGGACGAACAGGTTAAGCAGCTTCTAAGCCTCCCGCTGCTTAGTGACCGGGCCAGACTGCGTCCGGACCTGTTGGATCCAGTCTTGGTGGCCTGTAATACTTTGAGGCGGCTGGGTTTACCAGTGGGCGAATGGGCTTTTTTGTTGCTCCGCATCGTGCTGTCCCGTCTACCTCTCGACCTGCGAATCCATTTTGAGGAGAGGTACGGCGGGGACGAGGCCTCCTATATGCCGCCCTTCTATGACCTGCTGCGGTTTTTGGAGGAGCAGTGCCGGCAGATCGAGAACGCGGCGGGCACCGTTGACGACTTGCGAGACGTGCCCAGTGAGAGGCTGAACCCGCCAGGCAAGTCGTCGTCAACCCCCCCCTGCTCCTATTGTCGAGCATCTGATCACCGGGTAACGTCGTGCCCGAAATTATTAGGTAAGCCGGTTCCAGCGAGGCGAACTATCGCCAAGGAGCGCCACTGGTGCTGGTCATGTCTGGGAGGGCACCTCCAGCGAGACTGTCCGCATCGACGGCCCTGTCTGCATTGCCAGGGCAATCACCATGCCGTTTTGTGCCTGGGTGCGAACGGCATCTCCTCTCGGGGCTCTGCCAGGCCCTCGACCCCCACGGGCGGGGGCGCTCAGCCACGCCCTCTGCAGGGTGACTCTCGGCGCCCGCCGTCCAGCCACCAGGCCCCTAAGTTTGAAAGGAGTCCCTCCCCCGACCAGTCGGGGGGTAATTCCCCCAGGGGCGGGGGTGTCATCACCCCCCCTCAGCGTGTGGAGAGGAACTTCACGGCCACTCATCGGTCCGCTGGACCCTTCTCACTTCCGTTAGCTGAGTGGCCGCGACTGGTGTACCACTGTTCCCCATTTGATGGAGGCGGCCCTGTCTAGCTGCTGCCTTAGTTCCCACCACGGCCGCCTCCACTGAGCCTTAAGCCGTCAACAGTCCACTTGTCAAAATGTTCTGTTGCCGACGGCCTCAGTGAAGGCGTACAACCCGAGTGGCAACTGTTAAAGGTTGTGCTCTATTTATCTCGGGTTCACGCCATGTGGCCTCCCCTTGGTGGTGGGAAGATTAGGGCCCCCCTGTAGCGTTGAATCACGCTGTCAAGGGGTATTAGATTTGGTTTGGTCGAGCACTTAGTCAAAAAAAAATACTTGAATTAAAATTAAAAATTGCTTTGGGCTTTCCGCGAAATTCTCCTATTTGTAGCGGTTTAATCTACTCCTTTAAATGCTACTGCATGTGTTTTGTACATATATTTAATCACTGTATTTGATTGTTGCGTTTGTTTGCTGAAAGGAAAATTTGAATTCATCTGAAATGGAATGGCGCACTATTTGAAAAATTATGTTTATGTTTATGATAGTGTTTAATCATTTTTGTTTTCTAAGAAGTAGGGCTGTCCCTTACGTTATTGTTTTGTTTAATTTGCAAGTTGACCTATGCGCATCGGTGATTAATTTGGTTGAATTAATTCTGTAGTTGAACATTGATGCTTTTGAAAAATTAGTTGAAATATGAGCATAGGACTACTTGTCTAACAGGCTAGCTAGTTTTGGAGATTATCAGATTGAAATCAGCTGCCGCACTATTTTAGTAAATGATAATATGGTGGGTGGCCTGGCTAGGCCTACTTGTTGAAAATTCATACTAGGGACTATCTGTGCGTTTCGTTCGGCTCTCCACAGACGACGTTCATGTGGAATTTGTGGGTGCTCTCTGCACTGAAGCTTAGGAGGCCGCTCGAGGCCGCTTCGTGTCGCGTCACTGTTTGCAGAGCTGATCCGGTCGGATTGCGGAACTAATCATAGGGGCACAGATGGTGTTTGAAAGAGGTCGTCGGAATTCTGTCCAGTACAGGACTTATTAAAGTGCTGCGATGCCCAGGAGGGGCATCCAGTGGAGGCTGACCCTCCGGCTTGCCACATTAGGGATATCTTTGAGGCGTTGATTAGGGTTGCAAGACCTAATAGATTGCCTAAGGTGGCCTAGTTTGGTTGTAGATTCGGTCTTGCAACTTGCAGTCTCGACCTTGTCCCGCTGACCGGTTTGCTCGCGGACCTAAATCCTTATGTCCGGGACGGGGGTTTGTTCGCGCAAAACTCTGTTGTCGGAATCGACACCAGATGTCACTCGGCTCGGCGCGATTCCGGTCTGAAGTTCTTCCGAGCGTCACAGTGGCGCGCGGGTCGCAAGCGAGTCAGTCATCTGCCAGATGTGCTAATGTTTGCACGCCTTTAATTTGTGCGGGAACCGCGGAATAGTTAGGGCGTCTAGTAAATATCCTGTCTAGGAATTATAACGCGCATTCCCTGTTTGGATAGCCTTTCCCGGGACTTATTGGGTCCGACTCAGAATCTGTATAAGTGCATTCGGCAATATAAGCTAGTGCGGCCTCGGTATTTAGAACTGTTGCCACGCGAAACGGTAGTGACCTTTGACCTAGAAACTCCGGGCGTGTTTTGTGCGGTAACCTTATACCCCGCGATAGTTAGTGGCTTCTGTAAGCTGGTTAATCGTGCGATAGAGTTAAGTGACTGTCATCGTGGTGAACCAAGAAAGTGACTGTGGATAACCTCGAAAGGCCCCCTCAAATTGGAGCGGTGTCGACGCTCGGGCTGCTGCCGACGGCTAAGGTCCAGGTTTAATCACCATCAGTCACACCCAGATACACACCACATCACCATTCTTTCCCTTGCACTACACAACTACATGCGACCTGACCGACTCCGGAGGGACCAGTCGTCTTGGATCGAGGTAAGTGAACTCCGCCAAATTCCTTCCGGTCGACTGGCCGTAGTATAACGCTCCCCCATATATTTTAGTGTAATTAGAGAGATTCCACGTGGCCTTAGGAGGCCCGACCTACGTTTGCTCGGGAAGTCTTCTGCTGATGGGCCCCGGGGGATTGGATCCTTTAAGGGAGCAACCGTAGGCCGTAACAGTAAAAAAAACGTGAGAGACACAACTTATGCCAATTGGAAATACTTTTATAGGCTCAAGATTAAAATGTGAAATTATTTTTTATGGAAATTATACAACAATAGTCGTAAAATGTAACAATTTCTTGTTATCCATAAGAAATGTTATTTGTTTATCTATAAATAATAAAAACCTCATTTAACTTATTAGGGAACCGACCACGATTAGAGAGGCTACAAAAATGACCTGATTCAATCTTTATAACATTGAAATTTATTATTCACATATTATCAACACCTGCATGAAATAGTAAAAAAAATACATTAATTAAAACTATTACAATTTTTTACACTATTACACTAAGTTCGAAGTTATTGACGAGTATGTTTACCTGGGACAAAGTAGTTCGACTAGGTAAGTCCAATTTCGAGCGAGAGGTCAATCGATGGATTCAACTCGGTTGGGCAGCGTTCGGAAAATTACGGCACATCTTCTCGTCAGGTATACCTCAAAACTTGAAAACGATACTGTACAACCAGTGCGTGTTGCCAGTGATGAACTATGGAACTGAGACGTGGTCCTTCACTGCTGGCCGGATGAGGAAGCTCAAGGTCGCTCAGCGGGCTATGAAGAGGGCTATGCTCGGAGTTTCTCTGCGTGATAAACTTAGAAATGAAGATGTCCGCAGTAGAACCAGAGTGACCGACATAGCCCAACGGATTAGTAAGCTGAAGTGGCAATGGGCCGGTCATATAGCTCGAAGAACCGACAACCGACGGGGAAGAAAGGTTCTTAAATGGCAGCCTCGTACCGGCAGGCGAAGTGTAGAGCGTCCCCCCACTACATGGAGTGACGACCTGGTAAGACATGAAGGAAGTCGATGGATGCAGATGGCTCAGGACCGTGCTTTGTGGCATTCCTTGGAGGAGGCCTATGTTCAGCAGTGGACTTGTGAAGGGCTGTAATGATGATGATGATTAATACAATTTAAATATATTGTATTGCAAATGTTTTTGTTTAAAATACATTATACGTATGTATATTTAAAACTAATATCGATTTAACGGAAAACCGGGTGCTCCTTACCGCATTAATAAATAATAAATATTTATAATTCTTTTTAATATTTAATTATACAATAACAATATACGTAAATTCATTAAACATATTTTTTTATGTAAATAATATTTCAACTTGATAAAGTTGGATTTTTTGGAAGTCATTATAAATTTATATATTTATATTTGCAAACTTGTTTTTCTTTCATAACTTTTATTTACAATCATTTATTAATATATAGATATTTAGAATAATGCAATGTTATTCTAAATATCTATACATTACTTCATATATACCGTATAGGTTTTTATACGTTTATGACTCCATAACTGCCTACGCCTCTTTGTCCTTTTTATCTCATTATCCTTTCAAAAATTAAAGAAGCGCTGAGATACTTCTTGATGTCTTTAGACTCTAACTTTACACAAGGAAATAGTGTATAAATCGATTTACACTTAACATCGATGTACAGGGATGTATCGATTAAATCACTCCAGCGGCACAACGTTACAGCAACAGGTTATGTTAGATAATTACGTCTAGAACAAAGCCGCAAGTCGGGGCTTCGCGCCGATACACGACGATAGAATCCATGATAGCGAAGAGAAAGGCGGACTGTGTCGGATAAAAGCATTTTGTAACAAAGTTCTCGTTTACGTAACGTTCGCTCTAGTAATAACTTTCGGACTACGTCGTCTGTACATAAATCGTATCCTGTATCTCTTCAATCGACTTCAACAATCGATTGCGTAATTCGGCTATAGCAATTACTTAGTGCTAATGAACCGCACCGATTTGGAAAGTTTGTAATTTGTTATCTGTGAGTAATAAGAGTTAAATTAGTGTGAATCAGTGAACGTATACTAAATCGCCTTAACTGGTGCGTTAAAACCGGCTTCGAAAAATAAAAGGAATAACAACATTTGCACATACCTAATAACTTCTGAATTCCGTATCGAGACTTAATGTATCGAAGAATTTAAGCCCCACTACTTGCACTCTTATCTAATAATTCTGTGGCCCAATTTCAGAAGATATTATGTACAAATTATATTAGTTTTTGAAGTCAGTTTTTTAATTTTTTTAAAGTCAATTTTTTACCCTTTTGCGTGAACTAAAGAATATCATAAGTTCAAGGTAACAACTATACAATGTTGTCTTAATCTCCGATTTTTCCCATCGTTAGAGTTGAATTTTTTCCTTGAATGTATGCCGGAATAACACTAAAGTATGACCTATTTATTAATAAAAGAAATATATTTACTATTTAATTGAAGAATCAATCAAATCGCGTCATAGAGGTTACTTATGCCCAAACACACATAAAAATATATACAGGCGGAGTGAGAGTTATTTTCTTTTTCTTTACATTGCAGTAAGTTTTTTGTATAGACTAACGATGACAAACGAGCACATAGTCAACCTGTTGGTAAGTGGATGCTGTGGCTTATAGACATCTACATCAATCCTCGAACCAAAATGCTGTTGCCAACTCCAAGGACCAAAATGGAATGCCTCGTTCCCATTAAAAATGGTCTCCGGTACTCTACACTCACCATACAAAACACAGTAAGCGCCATTAAACTGCTATTTTACGCTGGTATTCTGTGAGAGCGAGGTCTTGTCCCGGTCGAGCTGACCCGTTTGTGCTACAACCATAATATAGCTGCAGCATGGCTCTACCACGTATAAAAGTCCGCAATGTAGTATACATTGTGGACTTAATGCAATGTGTATTCTCTAATCATATCACGCATATACATACACATACACAAACATATATTTTTAAGGAACAAAGGAAGAAACGTATTTGTTTGACAAACATATAGGTGAAGGAGAAAAAGAAAAGAAAATCGTACATCATATATGTAAAACTAGTCGGCTAGACCGAGGAAGGACCACGCTCTCACAGAATACCGGGGTAAAATAGCAGCTTTATTCTGCTAATTCGTATAGTGAACTGTACAACTGTACGTTAAGGCTAAGATCTATAGACCGTATTTTAGATATATATCTAACTTCGAAGTCGTGCTGAGTGCTTGCGTGAAAGCCTAATTCTACGAAATCGACCACTTACGTAAAACTCTGGATGTTATCCTAACATCCAAAACCACCGTATTAATTTTAAATTGTTGTTTTTATGTTACTCTCATTATTTATA